CCTGTGTCTAGATTTTTTAAAATTTATTGTTAACATTAAACAAAATTTAGTAATTTTAAGATTTTTTTTTTTGGTGTGGGGGTTGTTTTAGAATACATTTTATTTTCGATTTGATATAACTTTTTATTTTTAATATACTATATTTCTTTTAATTAAAATTAGAATCCTTCCAGTTTGTAGAATAATTATCACATCAAGTTATTACGATTTTTTAAAAGTTTTATATTTAAATTTGATTAAATAAAAAGATCTAGTAGACTTTATTTATTTATTTAATTACAAAATGTTTAGGTTAAATTATTTTAATCAACGTCAGTTTTAATTACAACTTTAAAAAATTATTTTACTATATTTGATTTTAAAATGTATCAGAGTTACTTACCGTCAGTAAAATTATTTTACTATATCAAGTATATTTATATTACGATTTTTAAAATTTTATATATATTAATATTTTTAAGTAAAATTTTTTATCTTTACGGCAAAAATAGCTATTTCATTTCTCTAATTTAGTAAACTTTATTTATTTAATTACAATTTAAAAAACAATTTAATTAAACAATTTTAATTACAAATTTAAAAATTTTCATTTTTAATAAATTATATTTCATTTAATAGAAGGAAAATGTGTCAGAGTTTTTAGTAAAAAATATTTAATTTATTTAAAAAAATTTTTTTAAAATTTTTTAAAAATTTTTTCTTTACGGCAAAAAAAGCTATTTTATTTCTCTGATTTAGTAAACTTTATTTATTTATTTAATTACAATTTAAAAGAAGTTTAGGTTAGAATTCATTTTAACTAACTACAATTTTAATTACAATTTTAAAATATTTCAAAAAATGTATTGATAGTAATATATTTTTCTTCAAAAATCTATTGCTGGTAATATTTTTTTTTCAAAAAATATATAGGTGGAAATTTTTTTCAAAAAATGTATAGCTGGTAATATTTTTTCAAAAATGTATAGATGTTATCGTGTTTTGTTTTTTTTTTTAAAATGTATTGCTGGTATTTTTTGTTTCAAAAATTTGTAGCTGGTAATGTTTTTCTCAAAAATGTATTGCTGGTAATAATGTATGGCTGGTAATGGTTTTCTACAAAAAATATTTCTGGTATTTAAAGCAATTTTTACACTATCATAGTGTTTTAACCCTAGTTTAAGAGTTAACTAGGGTGGGCCTGGGAACACCGGCAATTAAAAGTTCATTCCCCGCTCTTCAAAACCTCCTGTTCTTAAATGCTTTCGTTAGATCCAAACTTTTATTTGTATGGGATGCATGTCCCCGAACTTGTGGAAATATCTAAAATGTCAGCTTTATACAAGCGCTTTCTCAGATAAAAGATTTAAAAAAGAAATTTCTATCACCACCGGAGAGAGTACTAATATTTACTGGACTTGAGAAACTTATTTTCTTGAAAAATTGGTTTAATAGAAATAATTTATGAATTTCTTCATACATTAGTAATGGCTGCTTGAGCAATGAAAGCTGAACGTTTTTTGTTTTTTTGTTTTTATAAGAAAACGACCATTATTAAGATTACAATCTATATAATAAATGCGAACTTCACTGTGTCACACATTTTCAGCTTTACTCCTAGAGGCTGTAGCCCAACATATCAAACCATTTGGTAATCAGGCCAACTCTGTGAGCAAATTAAAAACATTCCAGGTCAGATCCAGAACAGCAATACTGAAATTTGGGATTCTCGATCTTTCATAACTGCCATTGTTTTCGGATTCCGGCATCTTGGCTTCTCCGGATAAAAAAAAAAAAAATAATTAAAGGGACACAACTCTCTAACTTTCAATAGCGTATGTTCAAATTTAAAAAAAAAATAATGTTCTCAAATAACAGTGTTTCAAAATAAATTGTCCGTGTTTTCAACTTGGCAACCTAGAGGCAGTAGCCCAATATATAATACCATTTTGGCAGCAGATCGAATCCGTGAGAAAATTTAAAATATTTCTGGTCGGATATTGATCGGCAATACTGAAATTTTGGATTCCAAAATTCCCAAATTTTTATTACTGCAATTGTTTTCGAGGATTTTTATGTGATTTTTTGCGACGAATTTTTTGTACGATAACAATTTTTATAACTTGGAAATAAATTTGGGAACAATCAAAATTTATTGCGAAATCCAGCGTAAGTTACCCATGAAATAAAAATAATTGTCTGGACGGAAAGTAAGGGCCTACATACATTAAATTGTCTTTAAATTAAGCGGGGGCTAAAGATTTATCGTTGAACTTTTAAAAGGTAAGCTTAAATATTAATACAATACTTAAATGCAGTTATCAATTTTGAGTTCTGTAGTTTATTGTTGCCCATCACATTTACTACTCCCTACCTGTTGTGATGAATTCTCAATCAAGAACCGGTCGGTGGGGCTATCTTAAATGTTGCCCGACAGGAGAGCTTTTAAGCTAGTTTATAAATATTTGCTTCTGTCGCCATCTTTTTTTCTTTTCGCATTCGCTTTCATTTTTTGCATGACATGATTCATTCATTTATTAATAAATTTATTTTTTCCTTCCACTCAAGGTTCGTTGGTTCATTCGTTCGTGTTTCTTTCTTGCTTTTCTTTTTTCTACCTTCTCTCTGGACCAGTTCTCTCCCTTTCTTTTTGTAAGCCTCTTTATTTTATATCGGTGTGCCTACTTTGTCTTTTTTTTACTTTTCTTTTCGTCTTTTTTTTTTTTAATTTATTTCTTTTGAGGAAACGTTCCTTCTTTCTACTCGTTTGAGTTCGTCTTTCTTTGTTAAACATTAATTTCTCGTTCTATTCGTTATCTTTCCTGCAAGCCATGCTTCATTCAAGTTTTTCCCATTCTTTTCATTTCGTTTCGTTTCGATTCATTTCGTTTCGTTTCGTTTCGTTCATTCATTTTTTGCTTGTTATTCTTCTTTCGTCCTTCCTTCCGGACCCGTTCTTTACTCTTTTGTGAACGTGCCTACTTTTTTTATTATCTTCTAGCCTCCCTCCTTGTTTTCCTGAATTTTTCCTTTCTTCCTGGCTTTCTCGCTTATTTCAAGCAAACCTTTTTTCTCTTCTCATTAGCTGCCTTATTCATTCTTACATTTATGCCTCTTTGCATTTTTTTCTTTTTCAAAATTCCTCCTCCATTCTATCTCTTTTCTTTCCTATAAGTCATTATCATTCCTCTTTCTTCCCAACCTTCGTTCTTTCGAACTTTCATTCCTACGTATCTGCCTTTCTTTGTCCTATCTCCGTGGATCAAAAACGACAGATGAGAGCTAATAGCATTACAGCAGCGATGCCATCGTGTCAGCTCAATGCTTTGATCTTCCAAAAATAGCGCGAAAATAAGACGCCCAGCCAAGGCCAGGAGGTTAGCAGTACTTTTAGAATTGACCATCAACTCCCTTCTATTCATTTAGTTACTTTTTAAAAGTGTCCTTTCTAATGTCATCTTTATCCATGGCAGATGGTCAATTATACGATGACAAAGGCCGTCACTTGATACAATACCACTGGCTCTTATAATATTAATAAATATTGATGAATTGATGGTCAAGAATTGCCCCAAGAAACTCCACTGTCTTCCTTCACACACACACACACACACACACACACACACACACACACACACACACACACACACAGCATATATTTTGGCAGCATATTTTCATTAAGATGCGGCTCATTAAAAAGTTTACACAAGTTTGGTCTACGTAATTTTAATACGATCCTCTCATAATTACGAACAAGTTTCATAGTATCTTTGTTAAAGGAAGAAACAGAATTACTATGTTGATGCATATTCATTTTATTCCGAGTAGTTTCAACACTAGCACAATGTCATCATCAGGGTTTTGTTTCTTCTAAGACGAAATTGTTGCGTTCTTTACTTAAACAAGAAAAATAATAAAATAATTTTTAGATGAACATGCCCATTTTTTTTTTAAAAAAATGATGAACACAACAATTTTATACAACAATATCGGTCAATAAGAAGATGTATCAATAAAATCATTGAAAAAATTGACTCGCCTCGATATAGTTTCTTCTTCGTCACCGAGGCCCGTGGTACACTTGGTATAATGGTTGCATTGTATCCAAACTGTCAGGCCCGGGTTCGATTTTCCGTAGTGGATGCAAACTACCTATAAGTCGCAAATATGACTAAACGGCCATCCAGTTCTTTCTGCATTCTGTTGAGTATTAATCTAGGCTCGATGAATTACTATATATATATATATATATATATATATATATATATATATATATATATATATATATATATATATATATATAAACAATTAAATGTCAGATCTATGTTAAACAAAAAAGTAAGCTCACATATATTCGCAATCGTCAACGATGGCCTATTTATGTTCCAGTATATCGTGATATGAAAAACTAACTCAAGTCTATTTTTAATTGTGACCTTATGCCACCCCACACACTTTAACTTTATGAAAAGCGGTAACACTGTTTTTAAGCTTCCCTAAAATTTTGGCCTTTTCTTTTCTTTCTTATGTTTACTGTTTATGGTGAGCTTTGTCAGTTCTACTTTTTGGACATTTCTGTTAATAATAATAATAATAATAATAATAATAATAATAATAATATTGGAAATGATTCCATTCGACTCATTGAAGGAATCCCTGGTAGGCCGTGAAATACAAAACATTGTACTCACAAGTACAGTCCACTCATTACGAACGGCTTTATCCATGTAAAATATATGCGATTTTTTTTTTCAAAACATCTCATTGGAAAATGTCATGATGCCATTTCTGACGTTAGGTCTTTTGTCGAGATACGGAAAGAAATGAGTATACACCAGACATCAAAGGAAATAATAATAATAATAATAATAATAATAATAATTAAAGACCACAAACAAAAACGGTGCCTCCTTATTGATATGGCAGTCCCTGCTGACTGCAATGTATCTTTGAAGATATTCAAAAAACTGTCAAAATACAAGGACCCTGAAATAGAAATCTCGAAAATGTGGCATATGGTAACATCAACAATCCCTGTTGTAGTTGGAGCCCTGGGACTGGTTGGAAAAGATTGCAGTAGACTAATTGAAGGGATTCCTGTAAGTTCATGCCTCAAAGAGATACAAAAAATTGTTCTGACAAGTACAGCCCACACTTTACGAAGGGCTTTATCTATGTAATTTTTTTTTTTTTTGTGTCAGTGGAAAGTGTCATGATGCCATTTCTAACCTTAGGTCCCTGGGCGGGACCCGGAAAGAAATGTGTAAAGGTCAGAAATCAAAGAAAATTATTATTATTATTAATAATAATAATAATAATAATGATAATAATAATAATAATAATATTGGGAAGGAAACTGTATGAAACTGCAAAGAACATCACCCAAATCCGGTTACAGAAATAGGACCTGTAAAAAGTTTATGGGACTTTACAATACATCCAGACAGAACGATTAAAACTAATCACTCACACATTGTGATCAAAGATTATGATGACAGAATGTACTTTTTTATTCTTTCTGCATTCTGTTGAGTATTAATCTAGGCCCGATGAATTACTATATATATATATATATATATAGTAGATGATAATGTATCTTTGATGATTTTCAAAAAAACTGTCAAATTACAAGGATCTTGAAGTGTAAATCTAAAACAAAATAAGGCACATGTGGACATCAATAATTCCAGTTGTAGTTGGAGCCCTCGGATTGATTGGAAAATGTCCCGATAGCCTCATTAAAGAGATTATTGGTAGCTTATGCCTTAAGGAAAAAAATACTCACATGTACAGCTCACACATAGTGAAGAACTTTATATATGTAAAATGTCTGTGATCTCAGGATTTTTTTTACAAGAAATGATCAGTTAAAAATGTCAAAAAGCTATTTCTGACCTTCGGTCTCTGGATAGAACTCAAAAGGAAATGTTCATACAACAGAAATAATAATAATAATAATAATAATAATAATAATAATAATAATAATATCGTGTGAATAAACAATTATTATTACAGAGTTTGGCTAGGTAGAACTGGCTGTTTTATATCCTATAGCAGGGGGAGAACTTAACCCTGTGTGGTCTCAACTTCACACAATTGACCCTGCCATAATTTTTAACCATTTCTTTTAAAAGAAATTGCGTTTTATATGATATCAAATATGGTAATTTATTCAGGCTTTTTTAAATGTATTTTTGGTTGCATCCATGACTTTGCTACAAATATATTTCACAAAGAGCTGCCATAAAATTATCTATGTAATGTAATTGCAAAGAAAACATTACGAAGAGTTCTATGTATGTAAAATGTGTCTGATCTTATGCACTTTTTGTTGTCTTTTTTTACAAAACAGGGTCAGTAGAAAATGTCATGAAGCCATTTTTGACATTGTGTTTACAAGAGAAATTCAAGGAAATAATAATAATAATAATAATAATAACATCGTTTGAATAAATAATTATTATTATAGAGTCTGGCTAAGTAGAAATGGTCGTTTACTAGGCTATAGTAAGTAGATGAAATTAGAAGATAAAGGTAACCTAGTGTGGTCTCAAATTTGCATTTGCGTTATCCATTCTTTTCTAAAGAAGTGGCGTTTTATATGCTATAAAATACGGTAATTTGCCAGGCTTAACTTCAATAATTTAAATATATTTTTGGTTGCATTCATGACTTCGTTAGAGATATAGTTGTCAAAGAGCCGCCATAAAATTATTCAGCTATGTAATATTAAAAGAAAATAGTCTACCTAATGCGATGTTATATTAGTAACTTAAACACATTGGCTACGATGTCAGCGAATATTAGTGACATAGCATTTCAGTTCATATCATGTCTCCAGATACTGGTGATAATTATTTTAAGTAGGTTCGCTAAATGTCGGAGATATTCTATGCATATTTCTATATAAAGTAATATCTGTGGCTTCCAGTGGCATTTTGGGGGAAACACATATGGCGCTCAGGTATAACTATATCCCTAATCAAAGGGATACGACTCTGTCCTAAACTTTTCACTCAGTATTCATGCATGTATATCAAACACTAAGAAATTGAATTGTTATGTTTTGAAGCAATATGTGTATGAATCATTATTATTGTCTGTCTTTTATTAATTGTTGTGGATGTTGACATTATTGAACACACACAATTTTAAACCTTCTGAAAATTAAAACCTTCTGATAATTCCTCTCCAACACACATCACACACATCCGCAACAATATGATGACATGGCCGTCATTATAAAATAAATGTAAATCATATTTATAGTATGTCATAATACTTTTATATGTCATGAAGCATCTATTTGGCGGAATTAGAAACCTACTATGTAGATACATAGAAAAATTCGAAAAAAGTTCGAAACTCGAAAATTATGTATGGGTAATTGGGAAAATTCACAAAACAAATACCCAAAGCATAATACAAAAAAAAATTATTATCAGAAGGTTTCCCTTACAATTAAGAGCAAAAGTCGAAAGATTTTCCAATGTCAAAATATTTTTTTCCCCTTTTTAGAAACTTGGATATTTTGGTTAGAAATGATATTTTTCTGGTTTTAATGCAGTGCACATTCCTTTAATTTACAAAACATTTTGCAAAAATCATTTCCGGGTTGGCCATCAGCAGCTTTATATTATTTTCCTTAATCTTGTCCTTTGAAATCCTTGAAGTCTAATTTAAACTGAAGGGGGTGATTCCATGTTTCATTAGAAAATATTAACAGGTCTGTTCTTATGTCATCGTATTTTGCTGACACGGCATTTCAGCTTACGTCGTGTCTCCAAATATTGGTGACAATTATCTTGTCCTGTTTAGTTGTTTTGCCGAAGTTTGGAGACATTCTATGGATATTTCTATATAAAGCAATGTCAGTAGATTCCAGCGACATTCTGGGCAAATGCGTATGGCGCTCGGCTTATCGTAACTTTTACTTGGTTGTTGTATAAGTATATAGCAAGTATAAAAAGACCTCAAGAAAAAAATACGCATTTGTGGGAAGAAGAAAGAAAGGTATCAGTAATGCCTTCAGAATTCATTTTGTCACCAATTTATTAGTTTATTATAGAATAAGTGTAAATCACATTTATAGCATGACATAATGCTTCTTTATTTACCACGAAGAATCTACATCTCAGAAAAATAGCGTATATCGTTTGGGAACCCCCAAAATAGATCACAAAAAGAACGGTCACTCTTAGTAGGCAATTAGAAAATGGACGCCGTGTTTTTTTTTTTTTCAGAAGTTATTTCTGAGGTTAGCAAAAAAAAACAAAACATGGCGTCCATTTTCTAAAAAAAATATTAGCACTAAAAACTTTCATTTGATACCTAACATTTTATTTTACAACATATTAAAAAATAAAATAAAATAAGTTGTGACCTGGCCATGTAAACACATATCTATTCTAGGTTAGCAGTCAATGTGTTAATGAAAAATCCATTCAAAAATCTAAACAAATGTGCAAATCGAACAAATGTGTTTCAACACTTTTCATTACTTTTCTTCAGCGGTGTTTTCGATTGGCAACAAAATTTGTTGTGTTGTTTGTTTCTTACGAATTCTAAGAGTTTATATTTTATTTAAAATTTCCTAACTCTTCACATGCACTCTCCGCAGTATTTTCAACATTATTTTATACCACCACATCTCTTAAAAATCCAACGTAGGAATGCGGTAGCAGAATTTGCCGAGCGTCATGCAAATTTTTATACATATCTAAAGAAAATTTTACATTCTTTAAATTTTTCACCTATCGTAAAGCTTGCAGAATCGTTACAGCCGAACGTGATAAAACCTCGCGCAATAATTAAGCATGGTCAGACATCATGGTTTATTCAAATACACTTTGAATAGCGGCTCGGATTGAAGAATAGGAGAGCCGATTTCGAATTCCAGTCGAATCCATTGCATTCACTTACGTGCTTATAACATTGGGAAAGGTATGAATCCTCTTATTCTCGCCCCAGGTACGGGTAAATAGCAGGACAGACTGGGTTCTATAGCCTTGGATAGCAACTGGTCAATCGCAGAAAGAAATGGCAACCTACTGCGGGAAAAATCTGCCTCGTCAGTCATGTATCAAAAGATAGGTAATCGCCTTCGTGTATAACACGTATGACACTAAGAAAACAAATGTAGGCTAGGAAGCAATGAAAGATTTACACATTGGTAACTATCTTCTAAATAGAAATGACTGTATGAAATACACGCGCTTGTCGTCAACCTTGAAAGAGACTTGCCAAACAGGAAATGAAACAGAATATATTAAAATAGGGTAGTAAAATAAATACGCTTGCTGTCATTTTTTTTTCGTTACGAGGAATATAGACGAAAGAATGTGTTGCGTCAGTTTCCCAGCGGATTTGTAAGCGAAGGTTGACCTTGAAATTTGACGGAATGCAAAAGTCGCTCGCGATCTCACCCTCATCCGCTAGAGGGCGGGTCCAAATTTTTCCATTAATTTCTCTTCGTCATTGTTACTTTTTACGCTACAAACATTAATTATCTACCGATCACGCGCAACCGGCACGTCAACCAGTCTCATAAATAGTTCCATGTTCTTTCCAGGAGTTATAAAACAATATTTCTGTTTTTTTTCCTAAGGCAATATTTAGATTACAGCATAATATTCCAATCTATCTATCTATCTATCTATCTATCTATCTATCTATCTATCTATCTATCTATCTCATTCTGTTCATATATATCTCATACTATTTCTTTCTTTCTTTCTTTCTTTCTTTCTTTCTATCTATCTATCTCATTCTGTTCATATATATCTATCGCATACTATTTCTTTCTATCTATCTATCTATCTATCTATCTATCTATCTATCTATCTATCTATCTATCTATCTATCTATCTATTTATCTATCTAAGGCTCTTCATATCTATCTATCTATCATTCTGATTCTATCTATATATCTATTTCTATCTATCTCATTCTGTTCATATATATCTATCTCATTCTGATTCTATCTATCTATCTATCTATCTATCTATCTATCTATCTATCTATCTATCTATATCTCATTCTGATTCTATCTATCTATCTATCTATCTATCTATCTATCTATCTATCTATCATTCTGATTCTATCTATCTATCTATCTATCTATCTATCTATCTATCTATCTCTGTTCATATCTATCTTTCTGTTGCCCTAAACAAAGGAAATATTTGGTGGTCTTTATTCCTTTAACTTAAATAATATCATCCGTATTATTCTGAGCCGTCCGTGTATGTTTGGCTTGAATACGAATCCTATCCATTTTGGTATGTGCAAGAATGCTCTAGTAATGCGCTCACATATACGGATTCCACCTGTCCGCTTCTGAGGAAGGCGTGGGTCGGGTAGGCTGACGTTTGGTGCAGAAGAAAGAAGAGATCAAGCCTGATTTCAAGGGGGTAGGTGCTTGACCCATTGAATATACTTTTACAGCTTCCTCGCTAGACGAGTCATAACTCATCTTGACAAAGACACGGTGAGAAGCTGGAAAATCGGAGTCTAAAGGATAAAAATACAAAGGAAAGTGAATATGGAACATCTATCCATTTATATATTTATCTCTTTTTGTTCATATCTATCTATCTATCTATCTATCTATCTATCTATCTATCTATCTATCGCAGTCAGTACTGCAGTCTGTTCATATCTATCTATCTATCTATCTATCTATCTATCTATCTATCTATCTATCACATTCAGTTCATATCTATCTATCTATCTATCTATCACTCTATCTATATATCTCATTTAGTTAATATCTGTCTGTCTGTCTATCTATCTCATTTAGTTCATATCTATCTATCTATCTATCTATCACATTCAGTTCATATCTATCTATCTATCAGTCTATCTATCTCATTTAATATCTATCTATCTATATATCTCATTTAATTAATATCTGTCTGTCTATCTATCTCATTTAGTTAATATCTATCTATCTATCTATCTATCTATCTATCTATCTACCTATCTATCTATCTATCTATCACATTCAGTTCATATCTATCTATCTATCTATCTCATTCAGTTCATATCTATCTATCTATCTCATTTAGTTTATATCTGTCTGTCTGAGTATCTATCTATCTATCTATCTATCTATCTATCTATCTATCTATCTATCACATTCAGTTCATATCTATCTATCTATCTATCTATCTATCTATCTATCTATCTATCTATCTATCTATCTATCTATCTATCTATCTATCTATCTATCTATGTTTTGTTCATATGCTGACGATGAAGGTGTGACACTAGAGCTGTGAATCTTGCATGAATTAATTTCAGTTCTTATTAATGATTGCATTACTTTTTCCCATCAAACTGACACATGAATGTTCAAAGAAGGCATCAAATGGAGTTAATGGTGGTTTCTCTTGAAAACGGACTAAAATTAGGCATCGTCGTGTTATCAAGTACCTACAGAAAAAGATTTTATCCCCAAAGAACATTCATATCGACACGATTGCTACATTAGGAGAAGCGTTCCAGCTTTATCAAGAGTGCAAAAGTGGGAAGCTGGATTTAATAGGTGAGATACGATAACCCCAGATCGGAACGTCCTGTAACTGCCACCACATAGGAAAACATTGATCGTGTTCACCACATGCGAATGGATGACAGGCGATTGACTATAAATCAAATAGCCAATGCTGTTAGGGTATGCCGCGAGAGAGTTGGCAATTTCTGCACAATAAACTTGATTTCTTCCAGGTGGGTGCCACGTCTTCTGACACCTGAAAAAAAGCGCACCAGACTGACGACAATACGGGGAAATCTGACGTTGAGGCAGATTCAGCAGTTTTCCTTGAATATTTCCTAAACCAAGATGACAGTTTAGTTCATCCCAGACAATCCACACCTTCCTCACCAAGGTCGTTTATCTGCAGGGAATATGATAGCATCAGTTTTTGTGGGATACAAAAGACATTGTGTTTATTGAGTATAAAATATCTTCAAAAGTATGGCGAGTACGATGCCAACTTGTTGAAAGCGGTTAAATGTCAATGAAGAACAAATGTCCATTAAGACGAAACACCTAAAAACTGACTAAAGGGCACTTGTTTTATAAGGACAATGCTCCAACATAGAAGCCGTTGGCTTCCATGGAGGCTGTGCATTGCTGTGGCTTTGGACTGTTTGATCACCCTCTTTATTCAACTGGTTTAGTACCATCCGATTATCATCTATTCCCCAACATGAAAAAAAAATCACTTGACTGGGAATCAAAATCGTTTCCGAGAATATACTATTTAAACTTATATCCGAGTCCGTGTTATCTTTCTATGGTTCTACACCATAACAATGCATTAATTTAAACTTTTCTTATTAATAACTGCATTGGTTCTTGTAGTGTAAACTTCACACAAGTCCTTGGTTCAATGGCTGCTTTCCGTGACTGTGCATTTGACCTTCTTGATCTCCCTCCTTATTCTACTGATTTAACACCATCTGATTATCATCTATTCCCCAACATGAAAAAAAATCACTTGACTGGGAACCAAAATCGTAGTGATGAATACGTCATATCTACTATTGATGACTATTTTTTCACTTTGTCATAGAGTTTTCTTACATCTATATATAATGACTGACCGCGCTGTATCTGAGTATGCCTGTCTATCATGGAAGCTAGACAATCCCTATTGAGGATGCCTACGCAGTGACATTTTTTTTCTTTTCGCATCATATGAGATAATTAGAATATTCAAGCACTTTAAAGTATTTTCAATGTGTGAGGGTGGACTGGAAATTTCATAGGCTGACTATAAAAGGAGTGATGCTTGAGCTGTGAAATCATGCATGCATATTGTGAGGACCTACCTACAAATGGACTCTTCCACACCTATATAACATGGCTACCAACTCTGAGTAAAGGGAGTCACCATGTGAGGGTCACTGAGTAGTAACCAGAGAGTGAGTGAATGAGTGAGTCAGGAAGCTAGTGAGAGAAAGTACTCTCCAGTCCACATTTACCTTTTGTACTACGTTTCCAAGAATATACTATTTAACCTTATATCCGAGTCCGTATTATCTTTCTATGGTTCTACACCATAACAATGCATTAATTTAAACTTTTCTTATTAATAACTGCATTGGTTCTTGTAAGGTGGTAAACTTCACATAAGTCCTTTGTTCAATGGCTGCTCACGGTGACTGTAGCTTTGACCTTGTTGATCTCCCTCCATATTCTCCTAATTTGGCCGCATCTGACTGTCATGTGACCTCCAACATAAAAAAACACACACTTGGATAGGAAACAATATTACAATTATGATGACGTCATGCTGTTGATGACTTTTTTGACCAACAAGATGAAAACTAATGGGATCCAAGCTCTGCAGTTAAACGAGACAAAACGAGAAAGGAAAATGACCTGGACGAAATAAGGGATTTGAAAAGAAAGAAAGAAGGATTTATGAGAAATAAAGAAAGAATTAATGATAAGAAAAAAAGAAAGAATGATAACAAAAAAGAAGAAATAATGATGATACAAAAAGAACAAAAATGAATCTATCTATCTATCTATCTATCTATCTATCTATCTATCTATCTATCTATCTATCTATCTATCTATCTATCTATCTATCTATCTATCTATCTATCCTCTGGTCCTATCTATCTATCTATCTATCTATCTATCTATCTATCTATCTATCTATCCTCTGGTCCTATCTATCTATCTATCTATCTATCTATCTATCTATCTATCTATCTTAATGAAAGCTTCTTTACCAATGAGATCCAAGCCCTGCAACACCGATGGAAGGAGTGTGTTAACTGCAAGAGGGAGTATGTTGAATAAAAAAGACTCTCATTTGGTCATGTTCCATGAGGGTATCTTGCTTAACCTATGAACTTTTCCTCCGACACTTATATCCATTTATCTCAAGTTAAATAAATCATCGCTGGACATTGAAGCCGATTTTTCGAAATTAGCGTACCGTCTCCCCGAATTTAGTAAGAATTTTTCAATTTCATGAAGGGATTCTGCAATCAGAAGAAATTGGGGTTTATCACGCATGCGGCATGAAAATAAAATTAAAAAAAAATATCTTCAAGACCCTCACACATACACGCTGAGATATCTTAAATGAATCGATTATAGTTAAGATACAATGGAATATTATATTAACTAGGCTTTCACCGTTCTATGAAAATCAACTTCTAAAGGCCCACAATGGATTTCGCTCTGACAAGGTCTGTAATGAAACTATATAGGCCATCAAAATTGCTTATCTCTTAATACAAAAACTGTACACCTGCTATGTGGAGTAGACATCACAGCAGCATACAATCACATGAATAGACATCCTTTTTCCATAGTTTGGAATATAAATGTTTAGAATCTATCTATCTATCTATCTATCTATCTATCTATCTATCTATCTATCTATTTCAGTCTGTTCATATCTATCTATCTATCTATCTATCTATCTATCTATCTATCATGATTTGTTCCTTATCTATCTATCTATCTATTTCAGTCTGTTCATATCTATCTATTTCAGTCTGTTCAAATCTATCTATCTATCTATCTATCTATCTATCTATCTATCTATCTAAGATTTCAATATTTACTTGATTAGTCTTGGTTTCCATTTACTTCATAACTTCATAATAAGAAGTTCTTAGTAACATTCTTTTGAAATCTTGCCCCCCTCATCCATTCAACAGACATTTACTTCATTAATGTTTTTCGGCTCCCGCTGATGAAGTCGATCAAATCAGGTTTTGTCATTAATTTTCAATTGTATTCAAGTCAGGCGAATGACATAGGCCCCCACTACATTTTTCAGAACAAACTATTTGCAAAATACTTGTAATTTTCGAGCCGTCATCTCGAAAATTCCAGCACGCTTTATGAATATACCGAAAAGAACCAATTATTCGGAATATAATAGAAATATTAAAATAATTTTAGAATAAACATTTGAATTTTATTCTAATATATTATTATAATAGTTGCTCAATAATATATACTCGCAGTAGAGCCCGGCGGATGTAACAGTAAGATATAGATCAAGTATCGACCTTTATAAAGACTGAAAAATAAAATTAACAAAGATGATTGTTTAAGGTTGACGGACACGCATGTCTTAATTAGTTTTTTTTTTTTTTTTTTACGAATTGGTCAAACCAAAACTCAATCAAAATCATTGTTTTCAATCGTTATGAGTCTACCGATTGAATAGAATTTTATTATAAACAATTGTCTTGTAAATGTAATTTTTAAAGCATTCTGAATGTAAAAATAAAAGAAAAAAGTGTGCAAGACAATAAGAAGCACTACCTGCCAAAAAAAGTGAAGTTTTGTTGAAATCGTTGAAAAATGTAGGAAATCCGATCCCATATATAAACACACACACACACACACACACACACACACACACACACACACACACACACAAACAACCTGGGTTTTATAATAAGTATAACTCGATATGAGTTGTCCCCCTTTCATTCTCGTGATGCCTCTTGATCTTGTTTTTAAATTGATTTCGTGCAAAAACAATTGTGTTTTTCCAATTTTTGGCGCTGTAAGAACCACTGCAAAGTAATTTTACGTAGTCCTGTGAAGTTTTGTTGAAATCGGTTAAAAATGTAGGAAATCCGATCCAATATATAAACGTACAGACACACACACACAACCTAGGTTTTATAATAAGTATAACTCGATATGAGTTGTCCCCCTTTCATTCTCGTGATGCCTCTTGATCTTGTTTTTAAATTGATTTCGTGCAAAAACAATTGTGTTTTTCCAATTTTTGGTGCTCTCAGAACCACCGCAAGGTAATTTTACGTAGTCCTGTGAAGTTTTGTTGAAATCGGTTAAATGTAGGAAATCCGATCCAATATATAAACGTACAGACACACACACACAACCTGGGTTTTATAATAAGTATGATTACACATACCTGAGGATTAAAGTCTCTTTTTTATTAATTCCATATCAATTTCTTTCAAAATTTTGTTCTCAAGTACGTGGAGTACTCTGACTTTACCCTAGAAAATAGTATTTGATTGTCTGTTAAATAATATCCGATTTTAGAAGAAAAAGATTAAGTGTGTTCTAATATATTATTCTATTATTTGCACACAAAAAACATATAAGTGTCATCATTGTTAATTTTATATCAATCACTTTCACAATTTTACTTAAAAGATTACCTATCCCCCATCTTGAGCATGAAAACAAGAAGAGAGGCGTTTACTCATTTCAAGTTTTGTCACAGT